AGCAGGACAAGACCTGAGCTGCATTTTTAGAAAGGTGAATGGCATCATGACAGAGGCGGGTAAGACCAGAGGGTTCCAAGTAAGGCATCTGGGAATAGCAACATGTCCTCAGGGTCATGCTGAGGGCTGGGGCACAGGAGTCTGGGGTGAGCAGCTGTGAGAGGTGAAGAGACAATGGAGAGAATGCAGAGGACCCCAGTTCTCCTACAGCAGCCCCACACTGGTGAGTGACTGTTCCTCTGGCCCCAGGGGCATGCTGTGTGAAATGAGAAGGGGTGAGGCAAAAATGCATGTGAACTGTAAGGTGTCATGACTACCACTTTCCCCCTGCATTTGCACCTGCTAAATGAGGCACCCTGCTCCTGGGCTAGGACCCCGGCTCCAGCCCTGCTGTTCATAGGAGCCAGAGCCTCTGCTTCCTCCCCTTGTAAAGTGGGGATTCTGCAATGTCACTGCTGCACAGACACAAGGGAACCCTGGGCTTGGGGTTAATTTTGTAAGGCCAAGGTGGAGGTGAGCTGCAAGAGCCAGGATGATTCCATGGGGAACAGAGCAGCCGCTTCTGTATTCAGTGGGCTTAGCCCACTGCTTCAGGGGCCACCACGCTCCCGAGACAGGCCAGGAGTCACCCCTCCCCAAAAGAGGGGCACATGATCAGGCCAGGGAGCCCCTAAGCTGCACATTCTGATTCCTGGAGACTCAGCTAGAGCCCAGCTTGCAGGACCATGAGCCCCAAGGCATGTCCACTTGTGTCCAGGCCCTTGGGTGGCGTGTGAGCCACAAACAGGGCCACAGTAATGAACATGATCAGCAGGCAATGGTTCTGCCATCCTGTATTACCTGCCATTGAGTGTGCATGGGAAAATGTATCAACCATGAATGTGGGCGGGCTCTGTGAGATCACAGTGAGGGGACAGTATTCACCTGATCTGTGCCTCTCAATGTGAGGTGGCACCACCTCCTCATAGGGATACCAAGAGACAGGAGGGCCAGAGCCACCTTTGGTTGTCCCATTGCCTGATGCCACTCAGCTCTTTGTTCTGCATTTTGCCACCCTGAATGAGTTGTATGTTTGTCTCCCTTATTTCACTCAGGATCCCTGCCTGCAAGCAACAGCAAGAGGCAAACTTGCAAGACTCCTTGGCACTCAAAGCATTGGTGGGAGGCAAAGACCCAGGGGAGAAAGCAGATACAAATAGGGCAGCTTCAGGAGGTCCAGTGACAGCCCTTTAACACAGTGTTCATACCAGGATGTGGCTAATACCTCTGCACTTCACATCTGCCTCCAGGGCTGGTGCCAACCCTTGGTTTAGGCACACAGGAGGCCTCACTGCCTCTGCATGTGGGCCTCTCACACACCAAAGTCACATTCAAAGCTTGAGCCTGTGACCGACCCAAGCTCAAGTCCACGCTCTCACCCAGTTGCCAAGGCCTGGCCAAGAAACAGGGAAGACCTGGTGTTGTAGAGGACAGAAAAGCTGCCCAGCTTGCCTGCTGTCCCACAGGAAGCGGGGACAGCCCTAGTCACAGGACACAGAGTGGGGTGGCATCCAGACTAACAGTAGCACCGTGCCAGCTAACGTCCACCCTTATCCGTGTGAGGCATTCTGTATTACATATACCTGCTGGCTGAGTCAGAAAGGACTGAAGCCCGGCTCAGAGTAGCTGAAGTTGGAGAAGGGAGGGAAAAGTGAGGTAGCTTCCCACAAGCCTGGTGATGGGCCTTAGACCCTTGGCTCTGCTGGGCTGGGTGGGCAGGCTGGACCCTGCCCATATGGGGAGTGGGGAGATGCAAGCAAGGCTAGCTTCTCAGGGTTTGGTGCACCAGCAGGAGGCAGGTGACTGCCCCTAAGATGCCCCAGAGGTGGACACCCCACAGGGAAGGCAACTTTGCTTTCTGGGAGGGGGTCCTCTCTGGGTCCAATGCAAAGTCCCAGGATCTGGTGCTAAGCCGAGAATGCGCCTGTCTTTGTCCCACCCCAGGCCAGGAGCTTGCACCTTGCATCCAGAATTCCCAGGGCTGGGCTCAGAGTCCTCCTTCCTCCCACTGCTGCCTGAGCTCATCCAGGCAGACTTTGATCTGTTCCCTGTTCAGTCTGTCAAATGTAGCAGGAGCAGCATCACACTGTATGCTGGAGGTTCCAGGCCAAGGGGCCTGGTTCTTTCCGGTAAAGAACAGGGAGTGCAATGGCTTAGGAGGGGCAGTAGGCCTGGAGCTGAACTGCAGGGGTTCAAATTCCGGCCTCGCCACTTCCTGTCCTTGCTTGTGCCTCTTGGTGTATGAAGCAAGGATGGTGACTCACGGTGCCATGTGAGGATTAAACATGGATAACTTTTATGACAACACCTGCGCAGGTGCTCTGAGTAAGTGTTGTTCGCCTTGTCATGATGACATAATTGTTTCTCCCTCATGATCTCTTTGCTGAATGCTTACACACAATCCAGCCAGGGCGAATCCAGGAAGGCTTCCTGCAGGAGCAAGATCCCTGAGAACTGAGACTAAGAAGGGAAGGAGCAGCAAGAGCAGAACAATGGAAGCAGAGCCAGCAAGTGTGGCATTCAGCAGGCAGGAGCTGGGAGGATGGTATGTTATAGAGAGGAAATTGGAGTCTTAGTGAAGACTCCCAAGCTTGGGTGGAAGCAGGTCCATGGAGGGATAGGAGAGGGCTGGTGAGCAGCTCCTGCAGCCTTCCCTGTGCAGGGAGCCCAGCCAGGAAGGGCATGTGGAGGCATTGCAGGTGCACAGGTGAGGTCATGATGAGACCAGGTGTTGGCCGCGTGACAGAGCTGTGCCACCTGGCTCCTGCAGTAGCCACAGGAATTAGCTCCAGGCTGTAAAGCCTCCTTCTAGGCAGCCAGAGAACGTGTTGGGACAGTAGGCCTGTGGTGCAGTGTGGGTTCTGGGCACCAGCCCATGGCTGCTTGGCACTCCCACGCCTGTCCTTGCTGCCGCCAGGAGCCTGCCTGGGCCAGTGGGGATCACAAAATCCTCACTTTCCAGCTTCCCAGGCTCTGTGCCCACTCACCCCCACACTGCCAGCCTCCAGGAAAGACCTGGATCAGATGCAGAGAAGGCACAGGTACTTGGGGTGTTGCAGAGCTTGGCTGCAGGGATCCAGTGGGTCCCACAATGTCCTGGTTTGTGCAGCCTCTCCTGGGGATGGAACGTGGGGCCAAGGTATAATGGAAAATAAGAATTTAAAAAAATGCTTTCTCAGAAAAAAAAAGTCTGGGTGGTGGTGCAGGGGGGTGGGTTCTAACTTACCCAGTCTGGTCTGGTTTCTTCGCAATCCATTACTGTGAAACATTGCTTCTCATTGCCCAGGGATGCCCAGGGATGCCCATGGCAAGGGCTGGCTCTCAGCCCTGCCTTGGTCAGACCTCCATTGCAAGCTACCATTATGGACATGGCTGGGTCAGGCAGCCTTGCTTTTTCAGGAGGCACCTCCACGGTCAGCAGGAAAGAAAGCCCACACTTCATGGGGTGGCTGGCCTCATCTCCCATCTATTCATTTCCCAGCCATCCCAACCCATCGCAACTGCCAGTATAATTTCCTTTTTTGAGTATCTGCAAGTCAGTAAAAACCCACCTTTCTTTTCTTCCCTTTAGCATACTCTCTTTGCTGCTGAGCCTCCTGTGTGTGTCCTTTAAGTTTCATCTTGAACCTTGGTCCATATCCATTCACTCTTACAGATGTACTCTTTCAGCACTGATTTTAAATCTCCCTTCTAAAAGCCCAGGACTCTTCTTCTTGGCCCCAAGCCAAACATCCCCATCTGCCTGCTCTCTTTTGGAGGCAGGGATACAGGACTAGCTCTTAACCCCAAGGTAAAAGGCAGTTACCAGCATTGTGGCATAGCAAATGGAGCAGCTAGCTGCAATGCCAGCTTCCCATGTAGTGTGATTCAAGTCCCAGCTGTTCCATTTCCATTCTAGCATCTCTATTAATGTTTTGAGAAAAGCAGTGGAAGATGACCCAAATGTCTGGGACCCTGCCACACATATGGGAGACCTGGGTAAAGCTCCTGGCCCCTGTGTAGCCCAGCTCTGAGGAGTGACAAGCAAATGGAAGATCTTTTCTTGTGCCACTCTGCCTTTCAAAAGGAGACAAGTCTTGGCTTCCCCCTCCTCCCTGGAGGGGAAAGCCACATCTGAGCCCAAGGCTTGTGTCCTTGCCAGGCAGGTGCTGCTGTGTGGGCATGGTGGGTCAGCTGGTGAGTCACCAGCCACAGCATGATGTGCATCCTGCTCTGGGAAGGCAGGGTGAGGTGATGAGGCAAGGTGCACCTGAGGAGCAGGGGTGGGAGGGGGCAATGCCTCTCCATGGTGCACCTGGGTCAGCAAGGGGCTTCACCCTCTGCCTGGCAGTTTCCAGGACCCTCAGGCTGCAACTGCTGGGAGTCAGATGCCCTGGGCTTGCTCTGCCAGTTGTTTGTTGGGAGAACTCGGTGAGTCTCGGAGACTTGTGTTTTAAGATGGGCATCAGCACCAGGGACTCTGAACCAGGGTGATATGTTAGAAGTGCAGTTGCTTTCTAAAGGGTAGAATGCTGCCTGGTGTATGGGTCTGCCAGGATGCAATTCCCTCACATCCAGGCCTTGTCCAGCCACTTTCAGCCTCAGGGCTGGGAAGGGATTAGAACTAGCCTGGTCCCTGCAGGGCCTTACACCTGCCCTTTCCCCACAGGAGAGAGCCCAGCTGCTTCCCCACCCATCTCGGAGCACCTCCAGGACAGACGGATCTCAGGAAAGCCTGCCTCCGAAGCTTCCTGCTCTCGCGTGTCTGCCTACTGGGAGCCGTGACGCCCACGGTGGGGTTACAGGACAAGTCACAGGCTCCCGGTGCTGCCTCACCTCCAAGACCTACTCTCATCCTGAAGACGTCCTTGGACGCTGCCTGGGCCCCAGCTGAATGAGGCCCCTGGAGAGCAGGACTCACCCGTGCCCCCCAGCAAGCCCCCGGCCACTCCCCAGGGCTGGCTGCCCAGGCAGGTGGTAGGATGTCTGTGCCCCAAATCCAAGTGGAAGAAGTGGGTGGCAAGGAGGGGCCAACAGGACCAGCTGCACCCCCTGACGACCACCTCCGGAGCCTGAAGGCCCTCACAGAGAAGCTGAAGCTGGAGACGCGCAGGCCGTCCTACCAGGAGTGGCAGGCCAAGCTGGAGGAACACGCGTGGCCTTTCCCCAGACCGTCTGCGGAGCAGGAGACCAGCTTGGAGCAGGGGGAGCTGGCCCGGGACGAGCGCCTGTCCCCACAGGCGGAGTCCAGGCAGCAGCCCACCTCCTCTGAGGGTGCGGGACAGGCTGGAGATGCGCCCCTGGCCACTAGCAAGCTGGAAGGTTTTCAAAGTATTGATGAAGCCTTAGCCTGGCTCAGGAAGGAGCTGGTGAGTGGCTGCCCCCAATCCCCACCCCCAAGAGAAAAGACCACGCTCCTCTCTGTTGCCTCCCTACCCTACTTTTGCCTACATCCCCAACTGCAGACCTGTGATCTGTTAGTCAAAGATCAGTCTTTGCCATGTGGGTCCAGGGGACCCAGGTAAGAGGCAGCCCCTGATGGCAGGCACGGATGGAGGAGGCAGGTGTTGCCTTGAGAACTTGAGAAGCTGCTCAGGTGTGTCCCCTGTCCCAACCTCCTGATACCTCTCCTGGCCTCAGACTCTTATACTCTCACCCGGAGCTTCTGGGATCTTCTGTGGCTCAGCTGTTGTCCCCTTACCCCTTTTCAGCCGAAGCCCCTGCCTGTGGCTCCTTGGTCCCCGACTGGGGCTCCCTTGGGTGACATTGGGACAGGAATGGTGCTCGTTCTGGAGTGAAGTGGCTCAGGGCTGGTCATGCATGCTGAGGCTCTCTAAGTGAAGAGCGGTGGCAGAGCTGGGGTGTGGAGGCCTGCAGGAGTGCAGGACGAGGCCCAGAAATTGTGCCTGGAGCCGGGCTTTGCAGATGAGATGGGTGTGACTAGGGGTAGGTTGTGTCTGGGCTGGGAGAAGCAGCAGCTTCCATCCTTTCTCTTAGCCACAGGCAACGCAGATTTCCTTCAGAACAGTTCCCCACTCACAGTGAGTCCCTGCTGGAGCGTGGTGGTGGGGCTGGGAGATGCGTGGTCTGTCCCTCCCTGTGGGGCATTGCGGGTGGCAGCGAAGGCAGGAGGGAGGAACCGCTGGTCCCTGGTGTGATGGCTGGCAGCTTCTTGGCACAGCCAGATTTGAAGCTCACCCTCTCCCATGCTCATACCCCCATACCCTGGCCCAGGTAACACATGCCAGGTCAGGCCCTTTGGCAGCTCACTGCCTTCCCAAGCCAGCCTTAACTCGATGGTTTTCAGAATCCTCAAAACCCAGTTCTGCTGGGGGCCTGGAATTCCACATGAGCTGTAACAGTGGAACGAACTCAGGGCATGCGGCAGATCAGGGCCTCTGGTGTCTCTGATGAATTGGAAGCCTCAGTTGGTTTTCATTTCTGAGTCTGGAAATGCATCTCTGATCTGCCATCCAGCTGTGTCCGTCTTTACAACCAGTGTGTGTGTGCTGCTGCTGGTCTTTGTACAGACAGTGCTATGGGTTCTAGCACTAATGCTGGGTGCTCATCAGGGAGATAGACATGCTGCATCCTAAGGTGGACCCTGGAAGCTGGTCCTTGGATCCCTGAGGCTACACGGCTTTGATTTGTTTTTATAAAGAGGAACAAAAGAAAGATTCCCATTCATTAAGGAGACTGGGTGTTGATTTGGAGTTCATTAGGGATTTTACTGCTTCTGGAAGCGGAGGCAGTTTGCTTTCTAAATAAGTTAGTGCTCTTTGTGGGCATCCCTCTGGGGCAGTGACTAGAGGATGCAGGTGGGACTTGCCAAAGCTTCTCCCAGTCATCCTACAGGTAGAAGCTGCTCGAGACCCACCTGAGAAGGGTGTCTCCAGGCCACGTTCAAGATCAAATGACTGTGAGTGTGTGTATTGAGGGGTGAATCCCAGGCACCTGTGGTTTTGAAAGCTCCCACGAGCTTGTGATGTATGGGTGAGGCTGAGATCCAGGGAGGTGGTCCATGCAGGCAAGCAAGACAATAATTGTGGATACTAATTCAGTTGCCAAAGACTTCTTCCTGGTCTCCCATGTAGGCGCAGGGGCTCAAGGTTTTGAGCCACCCTCCACTGCTTGCTCAGGTTGTAAGCAGGGAGCTGCTGATTTGTCAAGTTCATGTGCTTTGGCTCTGTCCTTAGGTGGCCCAGGAAAAAAGACCCAGAGTCTGCGATTCAGTGTGTCCTGCAGGTGTTTCCCCTGCATGGGGCCAAACACCCAGCTTGGTGGAAATTTTGAAGTCAGTTATGGTTTCCAACGCAGCAGGCCAACTAGTGGGTCTCTCGGGACCCATTTGTGCAGCAAGGGGGGTCATTCTCAATGTAGCTGAATGTGTACGTGGGTGGTGATTGTGTCTGTCCATGTCTCCTACAAGGCAAGCTAAGAGGAACAGCCTGAACTTGTCTTCTTTCCAAGCTCCTGAAGCTCCCTCAGACTTTCCCTTTCGGTTTGTGCTGTGAAGAAATCAATGGTAGCTGCTGATGCCCCCAGGGACCTGTGAGTGGATGAAGTTTTACTTTAACCTAAAGCACTGGCCACTCAGGAGAAGGGGAGACACCTTCCCCAAAGCCTGGCAGTATGTCTCCTCTAGCTAGAATCTGCCCACGTGCTTCCAAGATGTTGCCACCTGGCTGTGGCAAACAGGACTCTGCCCATGCACTGGGTGGCTTTGAACCACCTGACTTTCCTAGAGTTGTTGTCCCTGGGACATGGAGTCAGGGTCCAGTGAGCCCTGCTGATTCCAACATGCTCTTGAGTCACAGCCACCAGCTATCCCACCTCTTTTCCGGGCCTCCCTAGGTTGGTAGCCAAGTGACCAGGGTGCAGGCAATGCCTTGGGGAAGGATGAGCTGAGAAGGACAAGACCCCCATGCTGCAGGCTTCTGTCCCTAGAACATTGTGCCAATGAATGCCTCTGGCTGGGCTTTGGTCCTGGAGCCAGCCTCATGCCTTGGGCCTTGAGCATCCGGCACTGGAAGAAAGGGCTGCTCTGTCTGACCTCCCTCTGCAGCAGAGTGGAGAAGTCCCCTTGTCACCCTGATGGATGAAGAATAGGGATGGGAAAGTCTTCCACTTGGCCGGGTGGTGCCAAAACAATAACAACATTCCAGCTTCTAACGGGTTGTCTGTGAGAAGCCCTGGAGCCCACAGTCAGGTCTTTTCCTGTTTGATCTCCACAGCTAAGCCCAGAAAGCATTGAAGTTGTCAGGAAAAGGGAAAAGAAAACCGACAAGTTTTCATCTTGGAGTGTCTGCCTGACAGGAGGCCTGCAGACCTGGCTGCACCTGCCAGTTAACCATCTCGGGCATGTGCAGGCACAGCCCTCAGCTGATCTTGCCTCTGTCTGCAGACTGGCCTGACCTGGGACAAGACACACTCACTTGGCATCTCCAGATGGAGATGGAAGTGCCTTCCTGGCATTGCTCCTTGTGTTCCTGCAGTCGGGTGTTAATATGGCCCCCTTTGTGCAAATTCTTGAAGTCTTTGATCTGTTTTAGGCTTGTAGACAACAGGTCCTTGGTCCCTAGAAAGTCTGGCTGTCACCTGCCAGTGAAGGCATTTGCTGCCCTTGAATGTGAAATCATTCAGAGTCTTCTACCAAAAAGTAAATGCCTTGCAAGCAGGCAGGGCACCCTGGGGAGGGACACACAATCTCCAGACGCCTCAGGAGCCTTTGGCAAAGAGAAAATCAGAATCTGGCCTCTGTGGCCACCTTCTCCAACCCACGTTACAGAGCCCCCCAGCATGCTATCACAGAGAATCCCGCAAGTGCCCACTGTCACTCTAATTAGCACAGGCACCACAGAGAGGCCTTCTGCGGTCCCCACCAGGGCCCTCAGTCACCAGTACCTGCACCCATGCTGTGACCGACAGGATGGCCAATCCTTCCCTGTTTGGGATTCAGGAGGTTTCCACTGTGTGGGGTTCTTGATGCCAAAACCAGTTCTTAGCCAAGCAGGCTGAGCTAGTCATCCAGTATCTGTGGGCTTGTTGTAATGGGAACACATACATCATAGACCAGGTGCTATTTTTGTGTGCATCAAGTGCATTCACCTCGTTGCACAACTGTTGCCAGCACCCACTCCTGAACCAGCTCCTCTTCCCCAGCTGGAATGCTGCCTGGCAAACACTAGCCCTCACTCTCCCTCTCCCAGTCCCTTGCCATCCCCATGCTACTTTCCGTCCCTGAGAGCCTGGCGACTCTAGTACTGTGTAGAACTAGAATCACACATCGTTTGCCCTTTGTGACTGGCTACATTACATCATCAAGGTGCCAGGATTTCCATGGGCCAGGATCTCCTCCCTTCAAAGTTGAGTGCTTTTCATCCATCTGGATGGTCCATGCCATGCACACTCATTCACCTGCTGATGGACTCTGGATTGCTGCCATCATTTGGCTGCCATCATTTAGCTTCTGTGAACGTGAGTGTGCAGATATCAATCCTGGCCTTCTGTTGCAGGCCAGCAAGTAGAATGGCTGGGTGAGATGACAGTGCAGGGTCAATTTTTGAGAACCCACTGTTTTTTTGTAGCCAACTCCATGGCTTGTCAGCGCCTCTTCCAACTCCTGTATAGCACCAGATGGGAAAGACCTCTGAGCAAGCCACAGACACACTCTTCTGAGGTCTTTCTGCTCCTTGGTTGTCCTTCCTGGGCTTTCCTTTCCTTCCCTTTATTTAAATACTCTATTTATTCAAGAGGGATACTCACTCATACACACACAGGGAAGGACAGGTGGGGGAATCTCCCATCCATTGGTTCATTCCCCAGACAGCTGCAGTGGCTGGAACTGGGCTAGATGGAAGCCAGGAATCAGAAATTCCATCTGGGTCTCCCACATGGGTGGCTTGAGCCCATGTGCTTGGGCCATCTGCTGCTGCCTTCCCGGGTGCATTGGCAGGGAGCTTGGAGCAGAGATGATGCTTGAACCTGCACCCTTTATGGGATGCTGGCATCTCAGATGGCAACAGCACCCTTTTCCCCTTCCCCATGTGCCCAGGCTTTCCTCTCTGGTCCCTTCCCCCAGAGCTCCTTGCCTTCTCTCGTGCAGCCCCTTGCTACACTTCACCTAGCAAAGCCCTGGAAAGCTCTTTCCTCCTCTTGTGGAGCCTTTTAATTACCATCTTCAGTACCTTAATCCTGCCCTTTGGGCTTTGTCTTCTACAGAGAAACAGTGGCTCCAGGAAGAGGCCTTCCTGTCTGCCCCAAAGAGCCTAACCTCAGTTTGCCCCAGCAGATGGTGCCCACAAGCATGGCTGTTCCCTCCCTTTCCCTCCCTTTCTCTGGGCACATTCCCCCTAACATTGGCCCTGGCACTGCAATGTGCCCACACTCCCCTGAGCTCTATGCCCTAATTAAGGAATTTGCTGGAATAACAGGCTGCAACTCTGAGCACCAGCAAATACCTCTGTCAATGTAGAGGAGCCTCAGGCCATCCAGGAAGGGGGCGACAGGAAATTGGCATTGCTTACAGTTGAGTCTTTGCCAGGGTCAGTTTAAAACCCAGCCCGGGATTTGAGGATGCAGGGCTGGCCCTCAGAGCAGCCTCTTGGGCTTCCAGCTATTAGCTACAAGCTGGGAGGTCCCTTATTGCATGCAGCTTGCAAGGTGCTCTCTGTGCCCCACCAGCATGCTCCTCTTCATAGCGTGCTGTTTGCTGTTTGACATCCTTGGAAGGGGTGTCTGTAGGGGAGTAGGAAAAAATTTCAAGGAGCATTACCTAGTCCAAAGCCACCTAGCCGGTGAGGAGAGAGGCTTCACTTGAACCTATAGTCTAACTTTTATTGCTGTGAGCTTCCTGTCTCTGCTACCCCTGAGGCTCAGCTCTTCTCTGGGTGGACGAGAGCTAGACAGACCACCCTGTACTGGGCTCTGACCAGCCTTGTGCCACAGGTGCTACTAAGCAGGACAAGCTGATCACAGCAAGATGATACTGTAAGATTGCACACATTGTGGGGTTGCTGATGCAGTTGGCTTCACAGAAAGTCAGATGGTGTGTGCTTGGGGCAGGGAAATCCAGAGCCAGTGTCTCTTGGGTGTCAGTCTGGAGAGAGGACAAGTTCTGGAGACAGATGCCAGCAGAATGTGCAGTCAAGGCTGTGGAATATGCACTTGAAAAATGACAGAGACAGCAACCTTGATGCAGTGTGTCTCCTACCAGTTTCCATTTTTAATTCTGGAGAATGAAGCCTCTTAGCCCTGTATGTTTTACTTGGGTTTCCCTGCATGGGTTTGGCTGGCTTGACAGCAGTTAACCCAGGGCTAAAGTCATGTTTAAGGCAGGAAGTCACTTGGTAAGTCATTGTGAAGCCTCTGAGTGGGTGAGAGTGGTCCCTCATAGCCTGGGAGCAACTCTGACGTAAGTGGGAGGTGGAGGCAGGTGCTGGTTCACATTCAGGGGTCATCACACAATGCAGTACTTACTACCTCTCAAATTCCGAAGAGCAGGGCCTGTGGGTGTTCTGGGGATACCCTTGGCCTCTCAGCACCTGCTGGGGAATCAACCTAGTTCAGCCCCCTCCACTTGGTCCCTTCCAGGTGGGACAGATTGGCCGGAGCTCCCGGTCCTATGGAAACTAGGGTCTTATCGTTCTTCTTTCCTTCCTGCACAGCTGAATGCATTGAAGCTGTTGGATGTGCAGTGATGACACACAGGAGCAGAGGTGCCAGGTCAAAGGCAGATACACTCATGCTCTCCAACCATCCCTCCTCCTAGTTGACTCCAATAAGATAAACAAAACTTTGAGAAGTTTTGTTAGTTTTGTTTATTGTTAGTGAGGTGGAGGAGGGGGCAGGACACTCTCCTATCTGCTGGTCACTCCCCACATGCCCATGAAAGCTGGAACTGGACCAGAGCAAAGTCAGAAACCAGGAGCTCAATCTGGATCTTGCATATGGATGGCAGGAACCCAATTGCTTGAGCCATTTGCCGCTGTTTCCCAGGGTCTGTCTCAGCAGGAAGCTGGAGTTGAGTACCAAACTCAGGCACCCCAACATTGGCATGGAAACCAGCATCTCAGCTGCTGGGCCATGCAGCTTTTCTTAAAGAAATTTAATGTCTGGATTTTCTGACCTTTGGAAGGATCAATCCCCATAGAAAAGTCTCCCCTTTCTCATGAGCCCACCACAAGCTGTACCTCTCAGATACCTGGTCAGACCTGACATTTTTCAACTCTTGAGCATCTTTTTTTAAGCAAGAGTTGACCTCCGATTTCTGAGGGCCAAGTTCAAATCTAAACCATTGGGTTTCTAGCTTTTCCAAGTTACACAGTCCTGCAAAGAGTGGTGATTGGGCTGAGCTCCTGAGGACTAGATCAAGCAGGGTCATGTGTTGGATTCAGCCCCATCTTTCAGACAGGTTTGGCTTCATCTACTTCAGAAGAAAGACTCTGGGCAGCATTTGGCTCCGTTATGGACACAGTTAGGGGCTCTATAACAAATGGGTGAATGACCATCCCCTATGTCAGACTGCCATCAATAGTCTGGTGATTCGCTGGATCAATAGAACTGATTGGCCAGTACTTTGAGTTCCAGTGGCCAAGGAATGAAATGTAAACTAGTGGATCAGGACTATGAGTATAGATCTTAATTTTATTGTCAAATATCTGCCTGTTCTCCAAGCAATACTTACTATTTTTCTCACCTGTGAAGTAAAAGAGAGCCATGGGAGAGTTTAATGAAACAGAAGGGAAAGAAAAACCCACATGGAAGTGCTCACTGGGGAAGTCCCTGAGTTTCCCTCTTTGCAACGCACTTGAATGGAGAAAGGGAGAGCATCATCAGTGTGTGCAGTCACAGGGAGGGGTCCTCTGGACTGTCGTGGCCCTGTTTTTCTAAATCAGCTTTGCTCCATGCTCCAGGTAAATGGCACAGTTGAGTATGAGAACACATAAATATGAAAATGGCACCATTTGCAAGTGAAGGTAGAGTGGCCAGTGAGAAGGACCTGGAGCAGTAGCTGGGGACTTCAGTGGCACAATGTTTTTGAGGGAAAGGCTCCTTGCTGACGCCACCCCCTCCCTGCCATGTCACCTCCTGACCTGTACTACCCTGCTGGTGCTCCCAGCAAGGGTAAGTATGTACCTGACCTTTACAAACTGCCAAACATGAGACCTGGCAAGTTGTTAACATTCCTCCTTGATCAGGAACCAGGTGCTAAGAACATTAGGAACCTTGTAGAAAGTTACTGAACATGCAGCTGGCTCCATACCCCGTGTTCCAGCCCTGTCTTAATGTACAGAAAAACCTAAGTTGTCTGTGACGTGGGTTCTAGAGTCTGATTTTTTGGGTTCCTCACCCTAGCTCCTCCACTGATGAACGCCATGAGCTGACAGAGGTAGTGTGAGTTTGCTGTGCCCTGAGTCCTCATCTGTAGATGTGGATGGTGGTGCATAATGGTGGCTCCTTCATGTTACAAGTTGTACTGAGGATGAACTGTCTCACATTCATATACCATGGAGCTGAAAACCGTATCTGGCTCCTAGTCAAACTTAGTAAGTAGTCTATCTTTATGCTTGGATCCTTGAAAAAATATATTAGGACAACGTCCAGGTGTTCAAAAATGTTTAGATATATGACAGCATACCCCCAGCATCCAGTATAGATATTGCCATCTGAGTCATACTCCCTCCACTCCACCCAGAGGGCATCACAGTGTTGAACTTGGCGTTAGACGTTCCATGCATTGCTTCATACCCTTGCTCCTTCTGAACAAGGAGAATGATCTTTTCAAGGATTTGGTTGTTTGAAACGGAAAGTTAAAGGTAAGAGTTAGAGTTAGAGAGAGAGAGAGAGAAAGAAAGAATATCTTCCATTCACTGGTTTGCTTCCCAAATGGCTGCACCAACTTGAAGCCAGGACCCAGGAACTCTGTCCAGGGCCTCCCATGAGAGTGGCAGATTAGTAAGCAGCTGGATTGGAAGTGAGACAGCTGGGAGTTGACCTGGTACCCATAGGGGATGCTGGTATGACCTGTTATGCCACAATGCAGGGTTCAGAACTGGAAATATCTTAAGTACAGCAGAGACATGCACCCCTTTCAGGAGGATTTGTGTCCATGGCTAACCCAGATCACTTTCATCTGTCACCCCCACTATTCTATTTTCATCTCCCAGAACTGGGAAAGTGCTCGGGTTTCCAGGTGGGCCAACTGATGGCCAGGACATTAATTAGGACTCCTCTGAGTGGGTCTGCACTTGTTGGGGTCTGTACAGTTTTCCCTGCTTCCCCCAACCCCTGTCTTCACATCTGGTTCCTTCCCCCACCACCTCTGTCCTTTCCTCTCTTCCAGACAGAGATGCGCCTGCAGGACCAGCAGCTGGCCAGGCAGCTCATGCGCCTACGCGGGGACATCAACAAGCTGAAGATTGAGCAGACCTGCCGTCTCCACCGCAGGATGCTTAACGACGCCACTTACGAGCTGGAGGAGCGGGATGAGCTGGCCGACCTCTTCTGCGACTCACCCCTGGCCTCCTCCTTCAGTCTCTCCACCCCGCTCAAGCTCATCGGGGTCACCAAGATGAACATCAACTCCCGGAGGTTCTCCCTATGTTGAGAGGCCCCGGAAGGCACTGGAGGAGCCAGGACATAGCGCTTGGGAGGGCGCTGATGCTGAGGCACCCAGAGGGTCTCCCCAGAGGCCCCTTAGGCCTGCAAGAAGGTGCTTCTCCCCACTCCTCCAGGGAGCCATAACTGGCTTTTGTTTCTGCTCTGAAGGAGGGCCTTCCCAAGCCACTGTTCGCTAACAGATGGCGTCCCAGGGTAATCCAACTCAGTCCCTCTCCATGTGGCCCACATTCCGGTCCCCTGCAATCACTGGTGCTTTAAATTGGGGTTCCCAAAGTGTGGGTCTGGGGGGATCACCCACTGGGAAAATCAGCTGTATTAGGAGGGCCCATCCCATGTGCCATGACCGTCCTCTGAGTACCAGCCTGTAGTCATGCTCATGGTGTGATTTGGCATCCTGTTGAGCCTGCCAGAAAAGAAGACCCTAAAGGAATGACAGGAGAATGGAAGCTCAAAAGTGTGATGCCCTCTGGGCAGGACAGAGGGAATGTGACTCAGATGGTAAGGCAGCTCCCAGGACACTGAGGAGCACATGGCCAGGGCTGTGGTGGCTGCAGCTTCGGCACGCCATGCAGGTGTAGAGGCTTGCTGATGTGGCATGGGTAGGGCAAGCACAGGCAGCCTTCTTTTGCCTGCCATGGCCACTAGTTAAAAAAGTCCACAGAGCCCCCTTGCCACCACCCCACAATCCTTATAGGAGCACCCAAGAAGACCCCAGGAAGCACACCAGGCAGGCAGTGGAGTTCTATAACTTAGTTTTCTCCAAGAGAACACAGCAGAGGCCTCCCAGTGGACTCTGAAGGGGTCGCCTGCATCACTTGATTCCTGCCCCTCAAAATGCCCAGAAATTGGGCCTGAGCTTTCCTCAAGATCTCCCATGCCTGACCTAAGCAACTCCTTTTCATTGAATATGACTGTTACGTGTAGCTAACTTGCTATTAGCCGTTGGGTGTTTGTGCAAATGGGGAAGCAGTTTGATCAGGTCAAGTACCGAGCTTAGGGTCTGATTTTAAACATTGTTCTCCAAGATCAGCAAGTGAAGAGCTGGTGCAGTGGCTCGGAGGGCAGAGAGCTCTGTGTGTTGCTGTTTTTTGGCTAAGCCCTCTCCTTAACAAAGGAGCAGAGTAAAATGCCAGAGAAGGGACCACGTCTTTTCTACATGGCTGTTTAGTGGGTGTAGAGTATTTTGATGTGTGGAATTTCTAACAATGCCCAGTCGGGTCAGAGGCCAATCTACTTGAACTCAGATTGCCAGTGCCTCTCTGCATCTCACTTTGTTCCCACCTGCACCTGCTGGAGTGGGAGGATTATGGTGCCGTGGCATTGGTCCCATGGGGTGTGTATCCCTAATCACATGCCCTGGTCCACATGTGCTATGGCTGTAATGGAGCCTGTTTCTCCTCCCTGTGTAATGGCTGCAGGGTCCAGTCCAAGACCCACCTAAGGGAAGGGCCACTCTCCCTGTGTGGGCAGCATGGGAGGCAAAAATGAATGGCCAGTGGTAGACAAAGGAACTTGGTCTCCTCCTGGGGGTCTCCAAGAGCCGGAGAGCTGAGGCTGCCTTCCAAGATGGTAGAGCAGCATGGCTGGGACACAGCATGGCTGTGCCTCCTCCCTGCCGTGCCTCCTCCATGGCTGTGCATGGTACCACCATGTCCCTGCCAGGCTCGCTCCTCTCCTTGGCAACACACACACCTGCTCAGGCTACAGCAAGTACACACATCCTGCAGGGTGCGTACAGGAAGCCAAGTTTTCCTTATAAAAGATCAGTCATTTAAAAAAAAAGTCATTACAATGACACAAAAAATTCACAGAAAGCTGAGTGCTAGCGTGTTCAGAGTGAGTGGGTTAGAGGTGCTCAGGTGACCTGAGATACCCTCTCCTTGGGCTCTGGGAGGAAATGAAGACCATATGTTTTTTTCAGGTGGGTTGGATGTCTCAGCTGCCTCGCCTCCTAAAAGGATTGTCCACTTTAGGGGAAGGTGGGAAAGAGGAGGGGACAGACGAATGTTTTCCTTTGCTTTCCGGTGGACGGTCCTCCCCCGTCCACGGTGAACCTGGCTGCCCAGTCAGCCAGCCTTGCGTCTGGGAAGGGCTGAGGTCAGTGGCAGCATTGGCCACTCCCCCACTGCCAGCTCTCTGGCTGCCATGTGTGCGCAGTCTTACTGCTTGTCCATTTGTCCACTTTCCCCCAAGGATCCCCAAGTGTCCGACAAGGAGTGTCTCTTAACACTGTGTGGGGGGGGGGTGGGAAGAGGAGGGTATCTGATGCCTTCATGGTCTCTGTAGCAACCACAGAGGCCTGAAGGGCGTGGGCAGGCCTGACCCTGTCCTGGCCTAGGCCAAGACCTGTCCCCTGTAGCAATACCAAGTGCTATTACCTAATCAATAGATGATTTATAACGTTATTTTTTTATGATGATTTGTTTCTATATCGCTGTTAGAAAAAGTGAAGTAAAATGATCTCCAAAGATATCCACGCACAGGGAAATTCACTCCTTCTTGGCTCGTGTCTTACAATATGCACAGCACTTCCTGTAAGAAAGGACGGATGGCGGATGCGTGGGCAGAGATGCCTGGGTGGATAGGTGAACAGATGCGTGGCTGGACGGGTGCGTGGCAGTCGGAGGAAGGTATGGTAGGAAGGTATGCTGTTCCTTTCTCGTGCCTCCTTGCCCCCGGCTTCCTGCTGATGGGCAAGCAGCAGGTGATGGCTGGGGCATCTGGGCCGTGTTCCCCACATGGGACATGCAGGCTGGGCTGCAGGCTCCCCGCTTCCATCTGGCCCCGTGCCACTGTTGAGGCATTTGGGATGAACCAGCAGATGACCTCTGTATTTCAGATACAAATGCTTTTGGGAGGACCAGGGGGAGATTTACTTATTTTTTTAATTGTTATTATTGGAAAGTCAGATTTACAGATCTTCCATCTGCTGGTTCACTCTCCAAGTGGCCGCAACTGCCAGAGCTGAGTGGATCCAAAGCCAGGAGCCAGGAGCTGCCTTCTGGGTCTTCCATGAAGGCACAGGCTCCCATCCTCTACTACTGCTTTTCCAGGCCACAAACAGGGATCTGGATGCAAAGTGGAGCAGCCAGGACACATACCAATGACCATATGGGATCCCAGCACATGCAAGGTGAGGATTTAACCACTAGGCTACTGCATCAGGCCCCTAAGTAAAGGATTTTTTTTTTAATCCTGCAGCTTCCAGAATCCACTGAAGACCCAGCAGTGTTAGCTGCAGCAGGGACCTTGAGTTCTTCCCTGCACTGCCTTGTGGTTCCTCAGGAGGCAGAAGTGTCCCCCTTGCTTGTTCTCCAAGTCACAGGCCAGACCTGGAGCCTGGGGCCGGAGGCTGCAGCAGCTGCTGAGGCAGCAAGAGACCCGCAAACAGGCCCTGCCACATGGACAGGCCTGCCCGTCCCAGGCCCTATGTGACAGTTGCTACTCCAAGGCAGAGCTTGCCCACACAGCTATTTTTAAACACCCACTCTGTGGGCTCAAAACCGATATGGAGACAACTAGGCTGTCCCAGAAGGAAATTGATTCCGGAGGAGAAACCTCAAAAGTGAAGGTCTTGGAAGTGGTCACCCATGCTTACTCTGAGAGGTCTGCTCCCAGCCACTCAGCAGAGACAGCAACGGGGTGGCCTAGGGGCTATGTTAGTGTCCTGGGGTTCCTCCTCCTACCCCTCCTCCTTGCAGGGCCACCCAGGAAAGACACCTGCCAGAGATGCTCCAGGCCCCAGAGGGAAATCTCCCCTCCAGCAGGTGCGCTTGCCAGGTAAGCCCAGCCCAGGCCCTGAAGGTGGGGTCCTCGGGGAGCTGCCCTCTGTGCCCCACACCTGCTATGCTAGCAGCCTCACTGGGAAGGTGTGCGGGGCTTGCGGGGAGTACAGAAGCTTCCCTACCATGTCCCTGCTGCCCGGGGCATGGGCTGGGAGATAGAACCATGCTCAGTCTTGCACGCGAGGGGAGGACTTGCTGTTGGGAGCTGAGGCTGGAGAACCACAGACAAATCAGGCAGCGGGAGCCAGTGAGGTGGGGTTCCCTCGCTACCACAGGTGGCAGGCGGTGCACATGTGGCTCTCTGTGCATGGCTCTGCCTGTTGCAGAGAGACCTGGATGGAGCTCCTGGCTTCATGCTAGCCGTGCCCTGGCTGTTGGGGGCATTTGGGGAGAGAGCCAACAGAAGGAAGATTCTCTCTCTCTCTTTCATCCCGCCCCCAACAAATAAGCAGATCTGTGAAATGATGACCACTCCTCAAAGTATCTTGTGCCTCTCCCTTCTTCCCTCAAATCATCTCTGTGCAGTAACACACTTCATCTCTCCAGGGAATAGCACAGACCCTCCTGAGGGACGGCAGCTGCTCACAGAGGTTGGCAGATGGCATTACTGTGGCTGCAGGCTGTGCCCAGAGAGGTACAAGGAGGAGGAGGCTTCTTCCTCCTGAGGGTGGCCAAGCATCCTCCTATCTCCGTGGCTTCCACCTGCACGTTCCCCAGGCCAGCACTAAGCAGCCAGAGCCTTGGAGAACAATTCTGTGCGTTCCTCCCCACCGACGCTGACACGTGTCGTTAAGGAAGTCCCTGTGCGCCCCCTGCTGGAGGGACCGTGGAACTGTGGAACCGGCTTACACCCGTGCCGGTTGAGCAATAGCAATACTTATTGGCGTTTGCTGGATATTCAAAGTTCACACGCTGCCTTCCGCTGCCTCAAAGCCTAAAACTCCATTGGGAGCACTATGTCACAGTTAACCTCTACAAAGTATCTATTTTACTTATTTTTAAAGATTTTTATTGAAAAGGAAGATTTGTAGAGAAGGAGAGAGAGATCGTCCATCTACTGGTTGACTCCCCAAATGGATGCAACAGCCATAGCTGAGCCAGGAGCTAGGAACTTCTTCCAGGTCTCCCACATGGGTGTAGGTTTTGGGTCATTCTCTACTGTTTTCCCAGGCCACAAGCAGGGAGCTGGTGGGAAGTGGAGCAGCCAGGACATGAACCAGTGCAATATAGCATACCAGCAACTTGCAAGACGAGGATCAGC